ATGATTTTATTTTCAGTTGAATTGAGTTTGGATAAACTGATGAAATTTTTGGAAGTTGGTGAGAGTGTGAGATTTGTATTTGAGAGGATATATCCAAACATAGTGAGTAAAATTATCAATTAGGACCATGTAATATTTGTAGCCAAATTTGCTTAGGACCGAGGATGTCCTAAGATCACAATGTATGATGTCAAAAGGAGCAAAAGTTGATGAATTTGAATCCTTAAAAGGTAATCTAATATGTTTACAAAGTTGACATGAGTCACATAAAGAAGATATTGACTGTTTATTACAAGAAACTGAAAAATGTGAACTAAGCAAATCCAAAACTTGACTGATTGGGTGACCGAGACGAGCGTGTCATTGATCTTTGGTTGAAGCAAGGAGGGAAGATGAGATTGTGGGTGAGGTGAATGGGTAAAGATCACCCGTGCTGTTGTGGCGATAAAGTGGAGCCCCAGTCTTCAAGTCCTTCACAGTAAAACCATACGAGTCACTTTTCCGACCGCAATGGAAATTTTTCGAAATTTTTTAAAAATTTAATTTTTTTTTTCTACTATTGTGCAACCCTAACTTTCCAGTGCATCCCCTACTGTGAAATCCTGCGTCCGCCCCTGGTTTTATTATAAATTTTAAATTTGCGAATAGATAATAATTTTTTGATAATGGAAAGGGTAAATAGGATATTTTTCAAGGAATAAGATCTATTATGAGTTGTGTGTTTGGTATGTCTAGAACCATGAACTGGAAGACTAGAACCATTTCGAAAAAAACAGTGTTGATAGGGAAAGACACCATGGGACTAGAGATTTTACCTGGATCCACAGTAAGATGTGTTGATAAACCCGAATCCATATATCATGATTGATCAGTCGAGTTTAAGTTAACTTGTTGCATTGTTTGGGCCAGGTCGGATGGACTGTAGTCTGGGTAAACCCACAAATTGTGGAGTTGGGCTACGAGTTGGAGGCATGTTAGGTGGATGATGATGTGATGACCCATATGGAGGGGGTAGGTTTGGACAGAATGCAGTGTTAGTAAGGTGAGGGTGGAGGAGTCCAATTGTTGTTGGGCCACGAGTTGTTATTCCAGTGTTGCTATTTCCAGAAATTTTGTTGTTGACCTTGTCGTCGTCCCCTGTTGCTTCATCCCCGTCCACGGTTGTTGGAACCACACCTTCGTCCATGGCTGTTAGGATTCCAAGATTGATGATTGAAGTTGTTATTCCCATGGTCTCGATTTACCTTGGGTTTGATTCCATGGATTTTGAGATCGATCAGCTTTGTATTTCCGGTTTGTATGCATGAAGCATTTATTTCGATTTGATTTTTGAATTTCCGATTCTAAAGGGATTGATATGGTGACCTTTAAACAGATTTGTATACAATCCATCCATGTTATCAATACATATACCTCCACGAAATTTTTTAACAAGAATCCCATAAATCTTGCCAATCCACTATATTTCTTCGCTACTTCCTCTCTTCAACCTTAATCCTCCTTTTCCTCTCTATCAATGGTTACATTGTAAGGAACCCTATGTGTCGTTACTGCTCTGCCACCGGGCATGCTCGAAACTGATGAAGACTAGATTAAAAGGAGTGATTACCTACATCAGGGTTTCTGGAATTTTATTTCAGATGGGTTTCTCTAAAAGAAGAAATGAGCTTGTGAATGAAAGTGTTTTGTGGTTTTTTGGAAGGTTTTTAACTGACTTTGAAGTGATATTATACCCTTATGTATTCCAATTTCTTTTATTTAGACTTTAACACCATCTTTAATTTTTTTAGTTGAATTGAGTGTTAACAGCAACATTGCTGAACATAAGTGCATTTCGAGCTTATGTTCATGGATACAAGAGATGAGATTGAAAGGGTGGTGAAGACGTTCATAGTAATGAACAACTTAGTGCACAATCAACCAACCATGTTATTGGAATCGATAACAAGAAGATCTAATTTTCATTGTTGCGTATGATTAATAAAACTATTATTAAAATGATGATCCAGTTTTCATTGTTGCGTATGATATCTTAGATTTAACTATCCCTGCAAGAATTTGACGAAATATTTAAGATGCTAAAGGAGGAAATCTATCAGTTATCAAGTTGGATGTAAGATGAGAATAATAAGAAAGTTGATCACTTTTAGACATTCGAGTCTTTAAAAAAAATTGTACCCTTTTTACCATATTTATTCTTCCAATTCCTTGTTGGTTTAGTTTTTCTGAAGACTACCCGATGAGTTCATTCTTTTGATTTGCTTGCTATGTATCTCAGATTAATTGTAGATTGAGACAGAAAATTTGTAGAATAAAAGACTTTTATTTGTTCTTTTGCTTATTTTCAAAACATGTCTATATGCCACAATTTCACCAAAAGAACGCATGTTTTTTTTGGTGAATTTGAGGAAAAGAATTTGGAAAGATTGGAAGTTTTAGGAAAGATTTCAAGCCTTTAGTGAAATTGGGACAAACTTTGAGCTTCTTATTGTATTGTATGATGATACATGATTTCTCTTGATTATCTTAATAATCTATTTTCTTTTAGAACTCAATGTTTTGGTTAGTTTTATTAACCTAGAGGCTAACAGCCTGACCCCTTATACCAGACCAGAAGTCACACCATTGATATTAATTTTGTTATATATGTGGTTCGTGATAATACTTCTTTTCGACAATATGCATTATTTACGATGTTGTATTTGACAGAATAATAGGAGACATACTATATTAGAAGATGATAGACACAATGGTGTAGAATTTCAAGTGTAGTTGAAGTTTATAGTTTTTAGTAGTTTATTTGTTAGATAAATAGTGATTCTTTATGGTCATAGTTAGATACTTTTTGTGAGTTAGAAATAGTTTTGCTATTCTGATAATAACTTATAATGAATAATAATTGAAATACTTTTTGTAAGTTAGAAATAGTTTTGCTTTACCAATACAGCACATTGTTTATTTGTTGGGTTTTAATTTTACTTTAGCATTTTGAAATTTTCATTTTTTTGCATGATTGTAATTATTTTTTTATTACTTGTCACTTGTAGCAGGTGGATAATGGAGCCGAGGGAAGTTGGTCCTAATTTGGTTCTTTGATTACTTACTTGTAAGGAATGTATGCTCATCTAGTCAAATTAACTAAACCATTTTACAAAAACAAACTAATAATACAGGGGAGTTTTTTAATCTATTATACATGGACATTTATTTCCTTTTAAAGCATTGTACTTTGAAAGTAAAATGCTATAATTAGATAGCATGTCTATGTACACAAAGCCACTTATTAGAGTTTTTCTTTGCGATAACAAGAAATTTGTTAGTTTACGGTTTATGTCTTTTCAAATATTTGATTATTCATTACAATTTTAAATTATCAATACTGTTTTTCTTTCTTGCCCATCGTTTTCACAGGTTGTAACCTAGTAATATAATATGCTAATACTTAAATTTCATTTATTACATGCTCAACAAAACATGAAATATTGAGCGGATAGTATGGTCTTTTTACTATTTTGAAGTGAATCGGTTAGGTATCATACCGATTACAACCTCCCGAAACTAAAGCTAGCAAAAGAAGATCAAAAAGACCCTCCAGCCATTCCACTTGGAGATGGAATTTGAATCAGAAATCGTAGGTCCTAATGAAAGTGCGTTCCATAAGTCAAGCCTCAAATACGTACCATGAAGTGCTAATTAAGTGGAAGTCTGGAATGATTGTTCAGGATATAAAGCTACATGGGAATATCTGGAAACAGTTAACAATATGTTTCCAGTTTTCCACCTTGAAGACAAGGTGGCTCTTTGGGGTTGGGTATTGCTAAGCCGCCACTCAAATATAAGTAGGCTAAAAAGGGCGAGAAGGGAAATTCTGATAAGAAAGGTGTCATTTACTCCTTGTTCTCGAGTTTTAGCAAAGAAAAAAAGAAGGGGAAAGAAAATAAGATGAGAAAAGAAGAGAAAAAAAGGGGTTACCCAAGTTGGAGAGAAGCGAAAGGAAAATAAACATTTTCTTTCTTTCTCTCCAAATCCTTCCGAATCGGAAGGAAAGATATGCTTCCAATTCCTTTCATTAAAAAAACTAAGAAATACCAATTTTTTTTCCTTTCTTTTCAATTCCATCCATTTTCCTTCCCTTGTAGCGGTAAGTTGAAGTGGGTACAGGGTGTTAGTAGTGGTAGGGAATAAGGTTTGTTATCATTTTAGATTGCAAGAATTGCTATCATTATTCAAATTACTAGTTGAAATCACTGAGAAATTTCACAGTGAATTTATACCTATTTTTAATCTGTTTTCTTGTTGGTATGAGCTTTATTCCTTAATTTCAGTTCAAGTTATAGAATAATGGTGGGTTATTGTTTGTGATTTTGGTTTATTGTTTGTGACTCTTCAAATTATTTACAGGTTAATCAAAATTTTATTTGGTTAATAGTTTCTGAATCTTCAATTTTATAACATATTCTTCAAATTATTGATTTGGTTTATTGTTTCTGAATCTTCAAATATATTGATTTGGTTTATTGTTTGTGAATGTTTAGTTATGGGTCATTGTTTTAGATTTTAGTTTTCGTTTTAGTTTAGGGTTTTAGCTTTTGATTTTCTTTCTACGTTGGTTGGTGTTTGATGTCGTTGAGGAGGAGAATTACATGAAAACAGAGGACCAGTGGGTAAGTTGGTCATTTTATAAAGTTTTAACATAATTATTTAACGGTGTCAAAAAGAGTCACCAAAACCACAAAGAAACCCTGCAAACGATATAAATGAACTAGCATATGATAAAAGACTAAATACATATCATAAAGGTTAATCTACCTATTTGAATTGATTATGATTTATGAGATCACATAACAAGAATCTTTGATTCAATTTTGTGCATTTTCTTTTTCCTAATACATGAAATGCATAACTATTTCATGATAAAATGTACATATAGAAGGTGATAGACATTTTATGCCCTAATCAAACAAAATTGAAGGCGTTTGGAAATATGGGTAAGAAAGTGGTTACCTTCCTTTTACGTCGCATCCTTTTAAATTGCCAACTTCAATAAGTGCTTTATTCCATCGGTCCATCTTTTGAGCCCATTGACTTCTTTTATTCGCATCTGTCTCTACCTCCATTGTCTGTTTATGCTTAGCCATTGCATCTCCAAAGCTACTTTGTTGCTTCCTGACATGTGTGGGCTCCACATGATAAAATATTGGGATAACGATATGGTTGGATGTCATACGCTCCTCAAGGATCAACACCAATTCATCCAGACACCATGTTGAAGAAGCGTAATTCTTAGACAAGATGATAATAGAAGCCCGAGATGCCTTAATTGCACTCTCCAGTTCCGGTTTCAGATCTTCGCCTGTTTCAATCTCTTCATCATCCAAGAAGGTAGTTATGTTGGCATCAATGAGGGCCTTGTGAAGGTGATCAGTGAAACTATGATGAGTGTCAACACCTCTAAAACTTAAAAATACATCATATATGTAACCATCAGTTGATGAACTATGACCACAAGTTGGTGAACTATGACCATGAATTGATGAAGAAAATGAAGATCCTTCTGAGAGGAGTTCAGAGAGAACAACCATTATGAGTTTTGGGTTAATGAAGAAGATGATGAAGATCCCAGGATTTTGTGTATCTTGGTAAGTTCTGAAGCTCTTCAGTTCAATGTCAGGATCAGTACATAATGCCTGCACATAAACTCCAAATTATTAATATTGAGAATATGCAACTTAAATCTTATCAAATAATTTAAACCTCAATAATAACAATACTTTTAATTGTTCAAAATAAAACTTTAAGTGACTAAAATACAAATACACATACACCTTCAAGTTTTGAGTTGGTTTTGGAGCTATATATACCGAATAATGTGGATATGTGTGTTTAAACCCTTGATATTGATTTTTTTGTGCTAAACTTGGTTGTTTTGTGTGCAAGGGACAAAAGAAAGTGAAGCTTAGGCATCTAAACACTGGAAAAGCAAGAGAACAAGAGCTGTGTACTTGAAATACAAAGAGAGGCTGATAAGTCCCTGCAAGAGCAATCTTGTGGCAGTAATATATAGCTAAGTATTCATATAGAACAAATTGGTTAAACTGTTTATATGGCTAAGTTGGGGTGCAAGAAAATAACAAACCAATTTATGCAGTTAAACAAAAATAAATAAATAAATAAAAGTTTCTTGACATAGTTATCTATGGATCTACAAAATTAGCAACAACAATCTTCTCAAATTTAAGTTCCTATATCACTGGATCTAGTATTAGTATACATCTTATCTAAAGTGTTTCCACTAAAAACGATGGACTTGTTCAAAATAATATGTTTGTGCAACAACAATCTTCTCAAATTTCAAATTCTATACTAGATGAATCTTCAAAGGTAAATGCACTCTGTAGTCTAGTTTAAAATTAAGGATCAGAAAATATCATCAAAAAAGAATCAAATATATTAATCTTGTTATGAATTAGAAAATATAAAGGAATTGAGGAAGCAATTATTTTAAAGGATTGAATAAGAAAAGTAACTGAATAGAAAAAAAAAAATCAATCACCTGTTAATGACATAAACAAATCATTACGATGTGATGTATGATTAAAAGATGACAAGGTCTAATAAAAGCTAACTTGTAACAATGGGCCTTTATTGTTACCTGCCTACAGGAAGAAAACGAGGTCTGAAGCAGCGATGATAGAGGATGAGCTATAAAACCGGCGAAGCTGAGAAAGATGACGAGTTAAAGCTACTGAGCGACACAGCTGTAACTAGGTAGGAAACGGCGAGTCAACGAGGAAATGAGTGGCCAAAGTGGAGAGTCAACGATGATGTTCGGCTTTTCCTTTGACTTACGATGGAGAGGAAGGAACAGGGTGTTGTTATTCACACACGAAGACCGGGTGAAAACCATTTTTTTGAAGTTAAAACCGCTTTGACTAATCGAACGCATATGATTACGAACAGTATAATAGATTTTACACTTATGGTCCCTTGTGTTATGTAATAACTTTGATTTTCATTTTTTCTTAGTTTTAAATATAAATAATCAATCATATATTAACAAATTTTACATATATGGTCCTTATTTGAAGTATCATTTTATATTTAATTTAGTTCTTTATATTATTTAATGTAAATAATATTAAATGTATATGATATTTATTTTACATATTATTTTTAATATAATATTTGTTAACAAATTTTACATATATGGTTCTATATTTTACATAATATTCTATATTCTACTTTTTAGTTTTTATATTACTTTATGTAAATAATATTACATACATAATCTTTGTTTTACATATTATTTTTAATATAAATTATATATTTATAGTTATGAAAAAAAAAACCCGTATATTAATACTAAATAAAATATATTGTTAATACTAAATAAAATATATCATTTCTTAGTATATGAGATTTACAATTTTTCTTACTTATTGTCTTATTGATTTTTCATATTTAGTCCTAAAGTAGATAAATCATGCTTGTTGATCAAATGGAATGGAAGTTTCAAATATTACATTTATAACCATCTCATTTATATGATGAGGCCCATGCTTCCCATGGGTTGCGAGAATTGTTTTTTTTTTTTTTTGGATTGAGTCAACAAAGTTTCGTTATACGGTAGTATGCATTGCATTTAAAAGTAAACATTATTGGTGGGATGTCAAATCCACCAAGCAAATTACATCATTTGTTTGCAAATAAAATGTAAGATAATTGTAAAAGGGGTATCGATCCTCGGGGAGATGGTTGTCTTCAATCACCAATACAATCCAATAGAACTAGTGTAATTTAACTAACTAACTACAATTAAATTAAAAGGGGGTGTTTGATTACTTGAAAACTAAAATACTTGAATAACTAAAGAGCTTGCAATTAAGCAAGATGGTGAGATGCTCAAATGTTGGGAACAATTGGTTAACCAAGGTAATTCAACACAATGAACATATGTGTGTTTATCATTAGGATTCAATACAAAACTTATCATTCATCCCAAATAAGCATAAGAAATATAAACTAGAATTATAAACATAAGATAATTGATAATCAAACATGAATCCTTCAAAACCCACAAACATTCAATGGTTTTCAGCCAAAGTTAACTAAAATAGATAAACTAGTCACTCATGGCAACAAAATAACAATCACAAAAGTCTAATTACATAAAGAAACTACCAATTGCTTGGAAATATGAAAAGAAATGAGTCTCTAGCTCCAAAATCATCTTCTTCTATCTCTAATGGTGTAAAATCGAAGTTATGGCTGATAGATCTGATCCCCCAAAGTAATGGTGTGTCAAATTACCAAAATGCCCAAAGCTAGGCAGTTGTGCGGGTACCCGCGCGACAAAAATCTTACCCGCGCAAATGTTGTTGGAATGCTATTGGCTCCCTTTTCCTCCACTACCCATTCCACCGCCCAAGATTCTCTTGGTCCCCTCCATATCCCACATAATTCAAATCAACCAATCATCTTTTAACTTCAAATATGGATGCTCCAAGCCCAAATTAAAAGTCCATGGCCCATCTTCACAAGTCCAAAATATCCAAGTCTTCAACTCTTCAAACCCAAATCTCCTTTGATGGATCCGCAAAGCCCAATAACGCCTCGAGAGCCCACAAATCCTGTCTTCACTCTAATCCACAACCTCAATAAGCTCCAAAACCCTGCAAAAACCTTATGCAAAATAAAAAGCACCCGGTACGATCCATAATAATAATAAAAAAAGTAAATAAAATACAATACAATATTAATAAAAAGACCTAAAAATTCTACAATAAACTAATAAAAATAAATAAATAAAATAAACTATAAAAAATATGTGAAATATATGGAAAACATTAAAAAAAAAAAAAAAAAAGAGACAAAATTGAGTTTCTTTCATTGTTTGTACTTTATTATCCATAAAGAAGTGTGAGTACATTTTATTAACCTTATAATAAGCTGTAATAAATAAATTTTCAACAATCAAATGATGGTTTGAAAGAAATAATGAGAGAATGTTCACAAGATAAAAATAAAGTGAGAAGTACCAAAAACACATTGTTAAAATTACTATTAAGCATTACCAAGGTATCAACAAATGCTTTCACTCTAAAGTCATTGATCATCATGATGTCCAAAATCGAGAGACCGCTCTCCATTAAGCGGTGAAATTGGGTGGCACTGCCGTCACGAAAACACTCATATTGGCTGAAGTTGCTGAGCCGATTTGCTTGGAGTAGTCTCGACTTTTATTAGTACCCTCAATTTCATGTTGGCATGGTCAATGGTAAATGAGGATTGTTATTACTACCCCCGATTTCATTTTCATACACCTCCAAAAATACAATGTCAATATTGAAACCAACAATTACATTATAAATTAATCCACTTAATCACACAATAAACTACAATACTTGTATATAAACACGTAAAATAAGTAAGATTAAGTAAAATATTAAAAAATATGTTAAAATGTAAAGTCAACCTGAAACCATTTTCAAATATTATATGTATAACCATCTTATTTATATCATTTAAGGTTTTCTGATATATTTTATAATAATATAATCCATATAATATAAATACTTAATAATTGTTTGTTTTTTTAATTTTCAAATCCAATCGTGTTTTTATATTAATTACAAAGTAGATCTTTTAGTTTTGCATAAATTCAATGAAATTCAACTAGCAATTTAAGGTGGGAAATCATTCTCAAAAATCATTTCGTATACTTGTGCACTGATAACTCGTATAAATTTGACTGAATTTGAGACCAAATTTCTTTATTATATTTGTTACAAAGAGTTATTGAATCAAATTCGATCCTAATAAACAATTTAATCAAGTTGTATAGAATTTCAGACCTAATATTTTTATTAATTAATTAATAATAACAATAATAAATTGTTAAAAGAAAAAAAATAAAAAGAAGTTAGTCTTTATATGAAACAAGGATCAAATATGTAATATTTATAAACCACAGATATACAACCTATTAATTTTTTTAACTCAAAAACCAAAATTATAAATTAGACCAAAACTCAAGGACCATTTCTGTAATTTATTCTAATGAAATTATTTTTAAAAAATGCACACGGTCCGCTCATTAATATATACAATAATTACATTTTTAATATTTCTTTAATTGAATTTATTGTAAATGGTTTTGAATCGGTGGTTTTTGACTTTTTATTGGGGTGTCTTTAAAATCCCCTTTTGCGTCGCTTTCTAATCCTTTTGTAGAGGTAAAGATATTTATTAGGATAAAGGGAAATTTCATGAAAAAAAAATGATATTGTATTGCAAATTTTAGTTTGAGAAAAATACATTATACGTCCATGTTTAAAATGTCAAATTATATGTTGAGTTATTATTTTTTAAAATTAATTTGCATCGTTCCTTGATTTAAATTGGCAAGCTTCACACCTAAAAGAAGATTTTGTTGCGGTTTTAATCCGCACTAGATCTAAATGACTATAACACTCCTATGCAATTATTTTTCAATAATCTATTATTATTATTTACAATTTAAAATTTGAAATAGGCCCTTTCCCTTTTAGTGGACACTTAATGTACTCAATTTTCTGTATCTTGATTATATATAAATAGTCTAGGCCTCTTTGTATATAAGGTCCATCTAACCCTCTTGTATGTATATATTCTTGTATATGTTCCTTTGGAAAGCAACGAGAATGATACACCTTTTCGTGGTATCAGAGCTCATCAAAGACTTGTTCCCTTTTTATAATTCTCTAATGAAATTCCTCACTCATCCTAACATAGCTCTTGCTGTTTTTTCTCCTTTCCTATTTTTTCCTACCAACAGTGCCTCCTTTCTACCCTAATCTTAGCCGCACCAACTCATCGGAATAGCCATGTTCGACACTCCAGCTTACCCAACAAAGTGTTCACTGTTACAAACATCAAGACTTTTATACCCCTGATTCTTGATCGATAAAAATTCAACTATGATACATGGAGAACTTTATTTAATACCTACTGCAAGGCCTTTCATGTAATCGATCACATCGACGAGTCCATGCAAAAATCAATAACGGCCGAATGGCAGGAATTCGACTCTATTATGCAAATGCGACTTTATGGATCCATCTCTCAAAACATTCTCAACTTTGTCTTGAAGGAAGGGCAATCCTCTAAAGAGATATGGATAAATATCGAAAATCTTTTCCGCTTCAACAAAGATTCTCGGGCTATACAACTTGAGAACCAGTTATGCAACATCACCATTGGTGACCTTTCAGCCTCAACCTACTTCTCCAAGATCAAGACGCTCTCTGATCAAATCGAAAATCTTGTCTCCAATATCCCAGATAAAAATCTTGTAATGTATGCTCTTAATGGTCTCTCGATGAAGTTTCAGCATGTAGCTAGTATTATTCAACATCGGTCTCTGTTTCCTATGTTTCTGGAAACTCATGATATGATTACTCTTGAAGAACAAACACTTACTCAGAATCGTGTTATCCAGGATCCTTCGCATCAAGATCACGCATCGTCTTCCACCATTCTTTATGCCGCTAGAAACCCTCGGAATGGTGGGGGAAACAACCGCAACCCACACTTTCGGAATGATCACCGGCAACCCCATCAGCAGCGCCGCCACTAGCCGGAACAACAACTATCCCAAAAACACTATGGTTGGGTCTATATCCCTCCGGCAAACGCTCATCGGTTTTCTCCGACAGGTGTTTCTCCAGTGGTCCTCAATCCCAATTTCCATGGTGGCAGCCTTCATCTCAGTGGACCAACCCACATCAGTGGGCCACTTTTCCATGCATGCTTGGACCATCTTCTCATTGCCAACAGCAACAAAATGTTTAGCGACCCAATTATGTATTTAATCAAGCCCGTCGGATGTCTTCTCAGCAAGCCCACATGTCACAATTTTCTCCTAAC